GCAAAAGTATCATATTTCAAATTAAATTAATTACAGCAATTAAATTAAATGTAAATTACATCTAATATTAAAATTTATAATTAGTTTAATAATTATAATAAATTAAATCTTTATAGCACTGTCCCTCAATTTATTTAACAACCTTAATTCTTATTGGTGCCACAACAACGATGGTCTAACACGGCTTTATCCTTATAGGTTTTGATAAAGCAAGTACAGATACACGCTCACATGGATCATAAAAAGGTCTATCTATCATAAAACAAACCAACTTTCCATTGTTTTTTGCGTGTTCTTATCCCCTGAGTGGGGTTGGGGGCGGCTGGGAGTTCTGCACACATATATAGTCAGCACTGACCAGGGGTGGTGGTCACTGCGTGGGTTAGCACCTACGTAGTTCCAGGGCCTACATACTTGAAGAAAAGTCGCACCCTTGTGTGTTCGGTGACGCAGGCCTATCTTAATAAATTTCTCTCAAAACATATTTCACATATACTTGATTTATTTTATTAATTTATTAGAAATAATTCGTATCTAAAAATATTGTGTAATATAAATGATTTTGAGAAGGATATTAATGACCGTTAAATGAGTCTATTTTAAACCGCCGAATAGACTTATTGAAGTGTATCTTGTTTTATATTATAAATGTCTAATAAATTGTGTCATATTTGATTTATATTGTGTATGAATCGTTATAATTAATATATAAATGAGTCGTGTGTTATGTATTTCTTTTGATTAACTTAATTTATTTCCGATTAGTTCATTAATCTTGTCGTGTTAGGTCCACTGATTTACAAAACATGCGACATAAGAAAACTCATATTCTCTAATTTCGTTTTGTGTCATATTTTGACACCCCGTGTTGTATTATCTTTAGATACTAAATATTATTTACTATTTTTTATTTCTTTAAGAAAGTTTTTAGTAGTGTTGGTTATCTCTGTTTTGTTTTTAGTTTTTTCTTACCGGACTTACTCCCTTCTTTTAATCATAATTAATCACATATATAATAAGATAAAATTCAGATATATAAAAAAGTATATTTTGTGTACTCAAATGCATCTGGGTTATTTTTCTTAAATAAAATATGATTTTATTTTTTTGCTTAGAGAAAGTTGCTTGAAAAAGCATCACCAAACTTTCAAAAATCATCACAAATTGGGACGAGACTATGAAACAGAAAACGTTTTTGGTACTATATCAAAAAATAATTTTTGAATATTAAATATCCGTTAATTTATTTTTAGTAATTGATTATGAAAAATAATAAACTTTTCTCATGTCATATATTGTTAAAAACGGAAGGTACAATACCAAAAAATATTTTTTTAGTGTAAATATATAAATTGGTAAAAAATGATTTTTCAATAGTTTTGACCAAAAATTGAGAGGCCTGCAAGGACAGTGAAATGTAGTGATACACATGGGCGTAAGACAAGAAAAAGGTGACATACTACTGTGCTAATTGATGGCCACACAAGCTCTTGGTGGCATGGCAGGGAAAGACTGCCATGTTCGTATGAAAGTCTAATATGAACATAGAAGACTTTTATTCTGGAAAAACATCGACCAAAATGTCTACTTTGGCTACTAAAAACGTGGTTGAATAAACTCATTGAAGTGATTGGTACTTAAAGTCTTCATAATTGATTATTGTACATGTTTAGACTTTTTAGTTTGAGTTGTATTTCAATTATATAACTCAGGCTATAACGTTGATTAAATTTTGAATTGAAATTTGAGTTCGATTTTGAGTTTACATATAGTCCAGTCTTTTGCCAACATCGAACTTGGATATTTTAAATTTGTTTTTGAGTACTGAAAATTTTTGGGATGAATTCGGGTTGATGTATCCAAATTACAACCCCTAACCTTAGCTTCGTGTGATGCTGTGCTGCACTATCCTTAGCTTTTTCAAAAATACTCTGAAATTTAGAGGCCGAGAAGAGCAAGGAAAGCAGTGCTACACATGGGCATAAGCAGTGGCGGATGACAACTTCAATTCCAAAATTTAATTAATATTTTTTAATCAATAAAAATATAATGATAAATTTGTATTTGTTTAAATAAAAGTCAATTGTTGAAAATTAAAAATTAATTGTAAGTCAATTGCAAGTAATTTCACATTTAAATTAAGAATAAAAACCAAAAAAAATTATAAATTTTATCAAAAAATATCTCAATCATAAACAGCTCTACCATAATAAAATATACTAATTAAACCAGAAATTGAAGACTGGTTGCAGCTCAAAGTTAGAAAGAAAAAAAAATGTTAGGCAAGAATTATGAGTAAAAGAATGCTAAAATTTATTTCTTTTGCTTCTTCCATGTATTTTATTTCTAGTTCTTTCTATTTGGAAGGGAGCTAAAAGGTTATTCATTTAGTTACATATTTGTTCTATTCCAACTTAAAAGCTAAAGACCTATTCTAATCCGGTCGCACTTTTTTATTAATTGAGAACCGATCAAACCATACATCCTTGGTCTCACGAGTTACTACATGAATTTGGGATACATTCAACCAAATAATTTATGTGTATTGTGTTAACTATAAATTTTTTTATAACACTCAACCTCGAAATTTTAAGATAATAATTTATGAGGTCATTCTACCCCACCTACCAGGTCAAACAAGCTACTCTATCATTAAGGGGCATGCCAAAAAATTAGTGTTATAGGCTAACCAATAGGATTGACTTTTTTTAAAACCAACAAATTGCTCTCACCAGACATGATTTAAGTGTAAACTTTATCGAATTGATTGAAAATACAAAACAAGGCGTAGAAAAGTCGCATAGAAAGAAAAACAAAAAGGAAAAGAAAAAGAAAAGGATAAAAAGTGGCACATTCATCATACACTCTGTCCTTTACTTTTAATTTTTTCTCCTTGAACAGATAATTGCATCAACCCACTCTGTGCATATGATGCATTAATGTAATCATGGTTTTATGTTGTTTTGTCTATCTTTTTTTTTCGAATGAGAAATAACTAATATTATTACAAGAAAGGGCACGTGGCTATTAGATCAGCCGTTGACTTCTTAAAAAACTCTTAACATGGTGAATTTTATCCGTTATGAAATTAAAAATGGATAAAGGAAATAGTGCTATCAATTTAGCCGCACCCACTTCGTTATGATCACTATTTAGAATGTTAAATCATTTTAACAAGGTTTAGCATTAGAATGAAACGTTAATAGTATTGGGGTGGACACTTTAACAAGGTTTAGTTTTTTTTTGCCAAGTAGAATGAAGCGTTTATATTTATTCAAAAAATAGACACACTAAAATCACTCAACATAAGAGGGGCAAAAATTAGTATACATAGAGCATACAAACAAACAAAAAATAAAAAAGATTAATTTTAACAATTTACAAAAAAATGAGGTTGATTATAGTCATTTTCAATTGACACTAATGAATTTTTATTATTTGAAAATATTGCATGATAATTTCTTTATAAAGACTATCAAGAATATCTTTCGGTATTAATATCACATTATCAAACATCCTCTTATTACCGATTTGATTACATAATCGAACTGTTATAATCTCTACTATTAAAAATATTTTTTCTATAATGAAAATTACAATCCAGAAAATCAATATCAAAGCAACTAGTATGTAAACTAATAGATATATCCTGTGTTTTTCACTCTAAATTTCTTTTCCAATAAGAACATCAATTTGAATGTGCATAAATTTATTTAAAAAATATTTAAATTGTACATAAATAATGTCAAGAAAATTTCTTTGAGGGTGGACATGTCCCCCCCCCCCCCCCCACCCGGGCCACCTAAGCCAATGGTGGCTCCGCCACTGGCCATAACATTGAGAAAATTGGGTGACAATTAATTCTAATCATATTTTTTATGCTCCGTTTGATAGGAAAGATAGAAAGTAGGAGAAATGCACTTTCATTCTTTTGTGTTTGATTGGATTGATGAAAAATAATAATAATAATAATTTTTTTATTGTGTTGACTAAGATTAGAGATGACAATCGAGTCGTGTCGTTTCAAATTCGTGTTGAGTCATTACGGATTTGTGTCGAATATTAGTTAAATCTAACTTAACTCATTTAACTAATTGTATCGTGTCGAGTTGCGAGGTGACATGTTTATTTTCGTATCGAGTTCAAGTCGTGTCATTGTGTTGAGTCGAAAATTTTCATCCTTAATTAAGATGAATTTTTTTTTTTAAATTTTAAATATTTTTATTTTAATTTTTTAAAATAAATATATATATATATATAGACAAATAAGATATATCTCAACATAAATAATTAACTTTTTCATCCTTCCTATTTTTCTTTCTTACCCAACATGATAATTTTATTTATTACTTTTTCTTCGTATCAAATGTAGCATTAATATTTGGTCAAAGGAGCTGGAAACAGCCGAGGCCAAGTAAGAGGATAGAGAGTGAAAAAGTCGCAGCACCCAATAAAGAAAAGGACAATAGCCGTCACCAACTCTAGGCATTTACCCAAAACAAGCACGAGTTAGAGAGAGAAAATCATAAATCTATATGTATATATATATATACATACATACATATATATATATTTAGAGTGCGAAAGTCAAACGCTGATGGTAGCAAAGACCAACAGAGCTTTTACCATCTCTACGCTTTGCCCACACAGAGACACCCGATCTCATGACTCGGTGAAAGTTGTCTCTCTCTCTCTCTCTCTACGCTGCTTTTTCCGTGTTTTGACTTCCATATTTTGAATCTCTGATCCTCCGCATATAAAACCTAACCCTCCCTACTGCTAACATCTTCAAACCAGTTCACAACTCCCCAACAGCTTCACCTCCTACATTTAAACAAAGACATTAAAGCTTCTCTTTATATTACCATTCTGATCAGCTAACCCTTCTGGGTGTTTGATAAAGTTCAACTTCTCCACATCTTCTTCTCTTTTAAGACTTTTAAGTGACTCCTATATTTGCCCTAGATTTCTGAATCTTGATCTTCTTGGAAAGTCTTCTAATGGGTGAAGTTGAAGTTCCTCCATTTTTCCTCTGCCCCATTTCTCTAGACATCATGAAGGACCCAGTCACAGTCTCAACGGGCATAACATATGATCGTGAAAGCATCGAGAAATGGATATTTTCTGAGAAAAACAGTGCGTGCCCAGTCACTAAACAAGTCATCTCCGATTCCGATTTGACGCCGAACATCACTATCCGGCGACTGATCCAGTCATGGTGCACCCTAAACGCCTCCTATGGCATCGAAAGATTTCCAACACCAAAGCCCCCGATCAACAAAGCCCAGATGGCGAAGCTCCTCCGTGATGCCAAATCTCCACAATTACAAATGAAATGTCTCAAAGAACTGAGATCACTAGCTTCTGAAAGTGAGACAAACAAACGTTGCATGGAAGCAGCCGGAGCCGTAGAATTCTTAGCTTCAATCATAAACAACACCAACGAATCATCAGTATCAGAAGAATCGGAAGATGGGTTTGATCTCAAAAAAGCCAGTGATGAAGCCCTAAGTATTCTCTATTATCTTGAATTATCAGAAGCTGGACTCAAGTCTCTCTCCGGCCAAAATGGTGAATTCATTGAATCCTTAACACAGATCATGCAACGGGGGAACTTCGAATCGAGAACTTATTCTGTGTTGTTATTGAAATCGATCTTCGAAGTAGCGAATCCAATGCAGCTGATGAGTTTCAAACCAGAATTATTTGTTCAATTAGTCCAAGTCTTGAAGGATCAGATCTCTCACAAAGCCACCAAAGATGCACTGAAACTACTGATCAATGTTTGTCCATGGGGAAGAAACAGAGTCAAAACAGTCGAAGCCGGGGCGGTGCGGGAATTGATTGATCTTTTACTCGAAGCCCATGAGAAAAGGGACTGTGAAATGATACTAGTGGTTTTGGATCAACTGTGCCAGTGTGCAGAGGGAAGAGCCGAGTTGTTGAACCATGGAGCTGGATTAGCAATTGTGTCAAAGAAGATACTAAGGGTTTCGAAGATGGCAACTGAAAGGGCTGTGAGGATTCTAGTTTTTGTTTCGAAGTTTTCTGCAACTCCAAGTGTTCTTCAAGAGATGCTGAATCTGGGTGTGGTGGCAAAGCTTTGCCTGGTGCTTCAAGTGGATTGTGGTAGCAAGACCCAAGAGAGAGCTAGAGAGATCCTTAAATTGCATGCCAAGGCATGGAAGAACTCTGCTTGTATACCCATGAATTTGTTTTCTTCATATCCATCTTCGATAAATAGATAGATAGAGAGTAGTTCATTTGTGTTTTGTGTACATAATTGAATGCTTTAGATTAACTTAGAAAGGTGAACTTCTCATCATGTGTTATGCTATTTACTTCTCAATATGAATAACTATACTACCAAAAAAAGTACGAATTAAAAGTTATAACCAAATAAGGGTAAGTTATAACTCATTTAGATTACCTTATTGGGCAATGAGATCAAAATTACGATAAAAAAAAATGAAATTTAACGATCAATTCCAATATTAAAGAATTGATTCTAATATTTTTGAATAAATCCTTAAATATTAAGATAGATCCACACCCTATTTCACATTAACCTCACCAGTCTAATTTATAGTTTAATCTTATTTTGTAGTAATTCCAATAGTATACTGAAAAACAAGTGAGGGATGCAATGATGGTTGGAGCCTTTCTCTTATCAAAACCCCTTTCTTTCAGCCTAAAGTAAGTGGAACTCAACAAAGCTAACATTGACATTTTTTTAATCACAAAATAATGAAAAACAAGTAAAAAATTTCCTTCCATGAATGCTGATTAATTATGAAGCACGCGTGGTGGACCTCATCAGCCATCCATTGTAGTTCCAGCTGATTGGAGCCTGTGTGAATTACCTGCCAAGACAAAGAGTATACGTTTGACTGGATATCTACCAGTGCAATGTAAATTAAGGGGAGCTAATAGAAAAGGCAGTAAATGGAGGCAAAATTGTCCATATTTTATGGCCGCATTGGTGGAATGCAAAATTATACAGTTTTCGTAACTTCTAGAAATCATATTATTTTCAAATGTTATGAAAATTTCACTCCAATGTCGTGAATAGAGGATTTGTGTATAAAATTTGATGATGCACAAATTGAGTTTGTATACCACCTATCAGGTGAGCAATAATAAATGCAGTAATTAAAAAGTAAAAGGTAGAGACAAAAGCAATATAAGGTTTATAGTGAGTCGGACAATGTGACCTACGTCCATTTTGAATGGCTAGGGTCGCCGGATATTTTATGAGTAAGAAGAGTAGAGAGTTACAAGTTGAGAGAGATATGAGAGAGTTGTGCTCGACTGAGTGTGATCTGCCTCTCATGTGTTAGCAGGATTTATAATTTATAATCGCCTCATAATAGTTTTGGGCATGTTAGTAGTAACTAAGTGACTAATCTAGTAGAACTGACGCTCTCGTCTAACTGATGAGACAGTTACGATGTTTTTCATAGGATTCGGTCAATGTGCCTTTAGTCTAATAGTATTCCTTAGCTTGTGAAAACTTTGGTTCTTGAGGTCAAGGGTTCAAGTTTCCCTCCTCCTTTCCCTCTTCAAAAAAAAAAAAAGATTCGATGAAAGGATGATGTGGGGGTTGACTCTTTCCATGGAGGCATGGATGAGACTTTGGATGACCCTGCATGCTCCCCTGCTAATGTAGCTCTTCGAATCTGATAAGTTTGAACGGGCGTGAACTACTTTGGGTTGGACTTGCTAAATTTTTTAGAGTTGAGAGCTTGACCTACCAAATTTGATGGAAGAACGTGTCGATGGATTAGATTACCGCCAATGAATTGAACCTATGTTTGAAATTGTCAAAACCTAGCTATGTCCAATGGTCAAACATTGGTCTATAGGTAGCTCTTTCGTTGCCAAGGGTATTATATGTGTATCATCACAATCCTCGCCGTTGGTTCATCAATCGGTTGAACATAGAGATAAGTTTAAATCCGTATGTCCATATTTGATTCTCCCTAGCACTATACCTCAGCTAACCCAATATACGTAATTTGTGAAAGATTGTGTGTATCCAAACTTTGCATACAGAAATGAGTCACATAAGTCAAAATGACAGATGGTTATGATTATAGGAGTAATTTGTTTAATGAAAATGCTATATGAATTTAAAACTTAAACTTAATAATCACAATTATTGAATAGGTAGTGAGTCATAATAAATTCTGAGATCTACTATGAAATCTATAATTGTAATTATCAAATCAAACCTAGATGACCAATCCTTACACCCCATAATAAGGATCAACATTTGGATCCACCTCGTGCTCAATCTCCACCTCATCAACTTGTCTTGTTTTGGTTCTACACCCAAATTTAAAAAATGTTAAATAAGTGGTAAGCACAACCAACTCAATAGAAAATCTATTCACAAACATAAACAAAGTTTTAAAACAATAAAGTTTGGTCTAAGACAAATTTCAGAAAATATACACACGTATAATAACGCAAGTGTATAACCACAACATTACTAATAGTATATCCATTGCTGCATGTACAATTAGTATAACCCAATTCAAGAATGCCAAAAACTAACTATTGTATCATATTCAATCAAACAATAACAATTCCGAGGGGGCTTTGGACCTTCCACCCGAGGGATGCGAGAGGATCAATAACGGGAATTCGTAGCACCACTTTGGCCACTACAATCATCCAAAAACCACAAACCTATCCTCCTTAAAAGTAGTTGGAACCCTTGGATCCTCGTATCTATTTCAGAATCATCTCAGTCGGGTTCATTCAAGTTCATTGAACAAAGAAATAGGAACCAACATATATCTTTCAAAAATTGTATTTTTCGCCATAGTATGGGAGGATGTGTATATGTCAATGTAACCCATAAATATTATTCAAGTTTCAATTTAAACGATGAGTGAATTGCAGTTTGTATCCTAATAGATATAAGAATTTTTACTTTGCATTCTCAAATATTAAATTTCTCATATTATACCCTCAATTTATTAAAACTATTGCAATGAGATATTTTTGATAGTTTACAATTATTTATTCCGTCAACGTCAATGTATATTTTTTGCAGAATAAGCAACAGAACCAACGTCAAAGTGCAAAAATATTGACTACCTTTTATATGTGAATGATGACATGCCCATGAACCTTTACACCTACAAACCTCTTGACTATATAATCACAGAGTCAATATACATAATGTACCACAATATGCGTAAGGTAGACAAGTCCGTTATCTCCGATCAAAAAAAAAGACAAGTCCGTTACCGATCAAAATTGTCCAATATGTTAAGACTTGCTAGTTTGGGTAACATCAAATTTCTTCAACCTGATTGCCTCAAGTTGACTGAACTCACTTTGAACCTAACCTAGCTTCAGGTCCTACATTTATTATTAATAATCTATGCATTTGCTTTGTTAGTGAAGATTCAGACCAGCAATCCATGCTGTTATGCCTTTCAGATTGTAAGTAAAAGTGGGTCAGACCTATTCAACTGAATTTTGGTTTTCTCCTATTTGGACTGAAGACATGAAAACCTATTTTATTGGTAATGTATGAAGACAAAGAATAATTTTTATATATTTTTTTAATTTCTTGATTTGGTATTGAATGAATCATTAAAGAATTAAAATTTAATTTTCTTGATTTTGCTAGCACCTGGATGAAGTATATTTTTAGCTAATGGAGAACCTATTGATGACGGTTTGGTTGAGAAAATGAGAATTACGTGTCTCTAGTGTTGGTTAAATGCATCAACACAAACACAATCAGTAAAAAATTTAGATTGTGTTAAATCATATGACATGATTACTTAACTAGGTCGAGTAAAAGGTTGATAAGTACTAACCACGAATTTAAAAAGAGACAACTTAATCCCACCACAACATAACACGATTGACACTCTTATATAAAACTATTTAATAAAAATCCTGAAAGCTTTATTAATTTACTTGAGAAATAGATACCAAAAGATTATAAAAGTTGCAAGTTTGATAATCCAATAACCGCATTCAACAGACAGATGCTACTTCTTCTGTGAAGGAGTCATAAACCCAATTCAAAGAATATATCATGGCGGGGAAGTCTCAAATGGACTGTATACAAATTTGTGACTTGATCCAAATTTTTTATTCAATAAGAAAAATCTGCAAACTAAACAAACTAAAGAGCTAGTATATGCAGCAGTGAAGTCAGCACCATCACATGGTCCTATAACACTTCAATAAAAAAATGGGCTTAAGCTGAATTTACGAACTTCCTAACCTGCATAAGCAGATCATCTCAATAGCAAGCTCCCCAGAATGAAGCTACAAAAGCTGAAAAGTTGAAATCTATCCTAAAGAAGCAATTCAACTCTCCAGTGGGAAATAACAGAATATAGCCAACAACCATCCAATAAGGCTTTACAAGGTGCATAATAAGTAATGGGTGTCATACGGACCAATTGACAAGCAACTGGCGTACAATAACAACTCTTGAATACCCGATTCCCAGTTCTGCAAATTACACTGCTCAAGCATGTCGCTTAACACAAATATATAGTTTGATCATCATTTAGCAGACCCATATCTTCCATTGTCTTCAAAGATCCCTTCCTCAAGTTGCTTCCTTGGTTTTTCCATACATAATAATCACAGAGATACATGTACCTTTGAAGTTCATGTACATCAAAAAACGCAAAAAATCAAAACTGAATAAAAGAATATTCCGAAGTGGACTTCAAATTGGGACATAAAAACAAAAACAGTTGTTTTTATTAATTTTCTGAATATAATAGTTTGAATTTGAGAGGAATATCATAAGGCAAAACCTTAGGTTGTCGAGTACTTTCAATTATGTTCAGACCCACAGTAAAAATATATAGGAATAAATGTGAAAATGTAAAGGAAACACTGGGCAACTTGAACGAGTTAAACCTTCTCTTCTCATGCTCGGTCGTGTGAAATCTCTCTCTCCTGTTTCTCTCTCGCTCCGTCGTTTCCATAGCCCGGTGATTTCAAGTTTCAACACTAGAAACAGAGTAAATATTTTTTATTTGGGTAAGAAAAGAGAGTAAATATTGGGTGTAATCGCGTAACAAATGTTACGAGTTTCACAACTTAATTATAAAAATAACTAGTTATTTATTGCCTCTATCTCAAGATAGGTTCAAAATAATAAAAAAAAGTCAACTATAAATATATTTTTATTCACATTTAAAATCAAATCATATGAGAGACAAAAAAATTTAAACACTAATTATAGTGGGAGTGAGCGATGGTAATGGGGGTGGGTGCTAGCGGCGGTGGTGTGGTGACAATGTCGGTGGGGGTGCTAGTGGTGATGATCGAGAGGGGTGATGGTGAGGCGATATGGATAGTGGTGGTAAGAGTGATGGTTAGATAGTGGCGGTGGTGGTGGTGGTGGTTGGGTGGTAGGAGTGGTGATAATATTAATGGCGATGGTGGTGATAGTAAGGGGGCGATGGTGGTGATAGTAAGTGCGCAATGGTGATTGTTGTGATAGAGGTGATGGTGGAGTGCTGGCGATTGTTGTAGGACAGTGGTTATGGTGGTAAAGTGGTGGTGGGGTGGAGGTGACGGTGGTGGTGGCGTAGCACAGTGGAGATGGTATTGGTAGCGGTTATGATGGTGGGGAGGTAGTTTGATGGTGAGGTGGGGTGGCGATGGTGGTGGTAATGGTAATGGCGGTGGCGGCATGGTGGTGGTAGTTATGATGGTGGTGGGGGCGATTGGGGTGATGGTAGTAGTGGTGGTGGTGAGGTGATTTTAAACATTACTTTTAAAAAAAAAATATTTATGTGAAATTAAAAATATTAAAAACACTTTTAAAAAGTCATCTTAAACACATTTTTAGAGACTTATTTTTCCTATTAAATTTAGAATGTTAATATTAGTCGTCAGATTAACTTTAAAGTAAAATTGAAAGAGATCTTAACCACGAATAACACAAAGTCATTTTATTTATCTTTTGAGATATGAATTGTATTATACTTTATTATATAGATATAAGTGAACTCTACTATTTTAACTTAACTATATAATAAAATGATTTTTGTTTTTTGCGGTTCAGATTGTTTTAAATTTTAATGGCTAATATTAATACCCTAAATTTAATATGAAAAATAGGACCCTAAGGGTGTGTTTGGAGTGACTTTTTAAAAGTATTTTTAGGAATTATTTCTCATAAGTATTTTAAAAAAAATAGTGTTTGAAACCGTTTCACCACCACCGTCGCTGCTGTCGCCACCACCACCGCCGCCATCACCACCACCGTCGCCGCCACCACTGCCATCACCACCGCCGTCGTCGTCGCCGTCGCCACCACCATTGTCGCCGCCATCGCCATCGCCACTGCCCACCACCGTTGTAGCCACCACCACCACTGTTGCCATAACCACCACAACCACCACTGTAGCTTACCACCTCTCACTCCTACTATAATCGATATTTAAATTTATTTATTTATCCTCTATGTTTGTAATTTGATTTTGGATATGAATACAAATATTTTTATTATTTATTATTTTCTATTTTATGCCTTCAGGCACAGACAACAACTAGTTTATATAATAAAGTATAATACAATTCAAATTTCAAAATATAAATAAAAAGATTTTTGTTTTTTGCTGTTAAGATTTCATTAAATTTTATTTTAAAGTTAATCTGATGGCTAATACTAACACCCCCAATTTTATAGGAAAAATAGATCTATAAGAATGTGTTTGTGAATGTTATAACAGGCATCACATACGATCGAGAGAGCATTGAACACTGGTTATTCAAATTCGAAGGCGACAACATGATATGTCCTGTGGCTAAACAGGCCTTGTCTAAAGACTCAGACTTGACGCCGAACCACACTCTCCGGCGACTCATCCAAGCATGGTGCATCACCAATGCATCAATGGGTATTGGTCGAATCCCGACTCCGAAACCTCCTCTTAGCAAGTTTCATGTCCTCAACCTCGTGAAAGGGCTTTGGGTCCCAAAATTACAGCTGAAAACGCTGGAAAAATTGGAAGTCCTAGCAATGGAGAACGAAAGGAACATGAAATACATGGTTGAAGCTGGTGTAGTTAAGGCAATGGTCACTTTTATCATAGCATCTTACAAGAAAAAAGAAACAACTGGTCTTGAAGAAGCTCTGAGTATTCTCCATCTTTTCCGATCGGCGGAGATGAAGATTGTTCAAGATGAAATTGTCAAATTATTGATGCCTTGAAGTGGGTTTTAGAGTGTGATTGGGATAATAAAGTGACCGTGAAGAACCATGCAGTTTTGTTATTGAAGACAATCACCGGAAAAGCTGACTCCGGTGTATTGGAGAGACTGAAACTCGAATTCTTTGAGAGAATTATACAAGTTCTAAGAGAAGGTATTTCTCAACAAGGAATAAAAGCTGCTTTGCAGGTCTTATTAGACGCTTGTCCATGGGAAAGAAACCGAATAATGATGGTTGAAACTGGGGCAGTTTTCCAACTCATAGAGCTCGAATTGGGTTCTCCGGAAAACAGAACCACCGAGCTCATCTTGGGAGTATTGTTCCATCTCTGTTCATGCGCCGACGGGAGAGCTCAGCTTCTGAGTCATGCCGGCGGTATAGCTGTGATCACGAAAGAGAATTCTGAATCTTTCTCCGGCAGCCGATGATCGAGCCATGATGATCATTTCATTGATTTGTAAGTTCTCTAGGACAAGTTGGGTCCTTCAAGAGATGTTGAGGGTTGGAACTATTACAAAACTTTGCATGGTGCTTCAAGTTGACTGTGCTTGGTATTTGAAAGATAAAGCTAGAGAGATACTTAGAACACATTCTAATGTGTGGAAGAACTCTCCTTGCGTTGATGCTCCAGTCTTAACCGGGGACTCTAGCAGCTAGGTGTGATATACTTTTCCATTTTTTGTTTATGATATTTTTTTTTTCTTTTTGGGTAAGTTTAATTTTTGCGGATACATCGAGCAATTCTCAACAAAAATTCTCAACAAAAAGATTGCTTAACACCTATTTTGTAACAATGTTCTCTCACAATCCGATCGAGAGAATATGTTTACGAAATGTTTTTCTCTCTTTGAAATATAAATAAATTTTTATCAGTATTAGGATATTTACAATAAATTGAGGGTAACAAATACATGGCCCAAGAAATATTTTGGATCCATTTGGACTGGCTGTATTTACTGATACAACAAAACATAAATGTTTTGGCTGGTGGTACATAATGTTCATATTTTGCTTCATCGGAGGGCATTTGATAATTATGTTTTGGTTAAGGTTCAAGTGTAGACACTACCTGAGGATGAAATAAAAGACTTCTTTATGTGTGTAAGTTGTTTTGTTATTTGTTTAGACTAATGCATATATTGCCCCAGTTCCATGTGTTGTAGAACCTTCTACAATTTTGTGGGAATGATCTCCATTTTAACGGAGGTTAACCGTTGGCCTAATAACCTTGGCTCCCATTGTTAGACCTTAAGATTGTAAGTTCGAATCTTGTCATTTCTCCTTCTTTAAAAGTGTCTGACAAAAAATAAAAAAAAATAAAAAATCTCTATTTCGACAAGTTTTATGTGAAAACTTCCTTGGGCAAATTTGGCAAAAAATGCCATTCCGTTATATAAATTGGATGCTCCTGAAATAAGCATATCAGGCACTACTAAGAACAAATTTCCTATCATATGCCTGCAACAAAATAATATGTGGAGGTTCTAATTTGAACATCTGACATATTGTGAATAGATTTCACTATCAATCCGATTATGAAAATGCATGAAATCTATTGATCAAGTTCACAAATTAAATGTAAGTTTTTCTAAATATAATGTAACTAATAGATGATCCACCACCAAGTGGGGTAGTCGAGTAGGGTTCTGGCCAAATTTCTCATCTTAAAATTGAAAATTCGAGTCTTAGAGTCTATATTGTGGTTCGGTGGTTGACCGTTATGTTAGCCTAGTTAATTTTGTTCCTGAAATGAGTAACAGGTGCGGTCAAGAATTTCATGATCTCATCAATGAGGGCTTATCGGGGGTAATTTGTGAACGGTCTCCTTTACCCCCCACTCCTTTTTTAAATAGCAAAAAAAAAAAAAAGAACACTAATAGGTGACCCATGATGTATATCATGTTGAAAAATAAACTTGTTTTAGAATTTCCTATAATATTAAGGCGTGTTAATTAGGTGTGTGTTAGTAGGCAAAGAATATACAAGTAGTAGAAGACAAGAGTATTTGTGGGGTGCTAATTCCCAAATAATGGTGTCTTAATATTGTAGAGGTTACTAGAGTTAGTGGGTGTAATAGTACCTTAATGTAATATTAGGAATTATATGTATGACATATATAAATAGGGTATAGGACCTAGAGTTTCAAGTAAGTAGAGTTGAGTGGAAATTGAAGAGTCCAAGTTGAATGTGTGACTGTAATCAACTTGTATGAAAATTATTTTTTCTTTAAGTGTTCATATCCTCCTCTACTTCCTTCCGTTTCATTTCTACTCCTCTTGACTCCAACAAGATTGAATCTGAGCAATTTTCTTATTGTAGTAATTCTAACATATCATTTAGTGCACCTCAGTAAATAGGTGGTAGTGGGTGATTTTATAACTCCTGCCTTTTACAATAGTTAATTTTGTATTTAATGATCATTATGGTTGGAGGTTTTGACCACAATGAGAAATATAAGTTTGAGAAGATTCATTCTCTACAATTCTATATCTCTTGTTATCTCTATAACCTCTTCGTTTATGACACATTATCCACAAGGGACTCTAATCAATTAGGTAGATTGATCCCAACACTGGAAACAACTATAGATCACATTCGAGTAACGACACTCTATCTTGAAATATACAACATGAGGTAAGTACATACCATGTACACTGCTGTATACTTTATAAGGTGACCAAATAACCACAGAATTGTTTTATTTGGTTGTCTTGAATCAGTATTTCACATATATTAGTTATTATTCAATTTTGTTATAGTCTTTTTTTTGGTCCAACGGTCAGAGGTGATTAGACCAACTTACACGTACTTTGATTAATCACCTTTGCGATCTGATCAAAGATAGACTTGGAGATATTCATGGGGATAAATTTAGAATGACCCGATCTAAAAAAATTGTCAAGATTCGAATTCAAGATGTCTAGACTTACAGACCGTGCATGTTACCACTAGAACTAGCTAGGGTAAATTTTGTTATAGTTTTTGTGATTATTGGAATAAGACATTGGTGCAGTGGTCTATATTGCGATCCGGCAGATACTTAAGAGTTATAAATATACATGTTAGACTTATAATCAATTGTGGAGAAGATTCAACATCTCTTACTATTTCTTCTGTTAAAAGTTAAGTATCTATCCATAGTCTTGTATATTTGATATACAGGAATGTGAATTTCTTAGTTTGGCGTGAATTGATATCATCTTATTCAATTTTATACATGCCAACAAGTAATAAGGGTCTACTTAGGTATCAATAGATTATGGTAGGATATATCCAAGAACATCTGCACTATCATAGAAAAGTATGCAGGAATTACACATTGATAATAATGAATATGTGATATATTCTTGGGGACTTCCTCAGTTGGTAGAGCTGTTGCAATTGAGTCGTTGCAATTACGAGTTGGATGTCTAATTGTCTAGGTGGTAATGATAGTATTGATACACCAGAACTGTATATCAAATTTTTGAAGCTTGACCAGAATCAAGTGTTCATTGGTTTTTTTTGTGTGTGATCCGGGAAGACATCATAGTCCAGTTCTATATTTGGTTACAATGGTAGTTTTGGATTTCAAGTAAAGGACTATTTGATTTTTATACAATATAGTTGTGGGTGAAAATTGGGTTGGTCATTGTATTATTTAATTGGTCTCAATATTATTAGATGCTTATTCTTTTTGGGGAGGTAAATGGCGTTCTATTGAAATTAAACAAACTTTACAACTAATAACATCAGCTATATGCAGCCTTTTGCAGGTTTGTTGAGAGCCAAAAAAACACAACAAAAAACATCTAATACTAGTAGTTCGAATTCTGAGGAAGTATAGGCCTTGAGCTAGTACTTCCCAAATTAAGAATCCTATCTCACTAGAATTAGGTAATATAGCTATGATGCAACTTATATCTCTCATGACATAGAAGTTTAGCATAGAGCAGACCAAAGCAAACATAGCAGTGTAGTCCCCAAACTTGCACTAGCTGTGGTTTTGGGCATTGTTTTCAAACCTCATGGAAGATAACTTGTCCCTCGCAGTCTGTTTAATGCTTTCGTGGACAGTGTTGGAATCCAATAATTGATTGGTGAAGATCCTGTCGTTTCTTTCACGCTAAATAATATAAACATCGGGGCATATTAGTTTATAAAAGAAAACCCTATTTTCGTTAGTTGTTAGCACGCAATAGCCCCTCCCATGATACGGAGAGAACCAGCCAGATTGTCTATTGTCTGCCCATGGATTCAGCAGCAATTCGAAATGTTGATCTATTGGGGAATCTCTGAATTTATGCTTATTTTCAACTCCCTGAGAGCATTTTGTCGTAGTGACAGCCAGACTAAGTTTCAGCACCACAAGAAGCATGTATTACCCTTTTCCAGCTTTGTGCAACCCAATTAATGAATTCCATTGGTGTCTACTCATCTGCATTCTCCCACACCCTTCTAGTATTCCTGCAGTTAAAGAATAGGTGTTCATGCGACTCTTGCAACCTCTCTACATAGTACACAAGCAGTACTAATCTGGATAACAAATCTGTCTCTGGGATACAATTTTTTGCTTTATAGTTAGCCATAAAACAGAACTCATTTGTGGAATTTGTAGAATCGATATCCCTCTCTCTCTTTTTTTTTTGGTACGTTGGAAAGGAGAAACGATAGCCCTTACGGCTCTCTAAGATCAGCCAGCAGAGTAGAAGCTAACTCAGTCATAGGTTCCATGAGAACAACAAATCTGTCTTGTTGCTGCAACCCTAGGTTAGCCAGGCTATCAGCGCAGCTATTTCCCTCCTGCATAACATGCTGTATTTGAGGGTGGGCCTTGGCATAGCGTTAAGGTTGCTTCATTATGACTTGAAGGTCACAAATTCGAGTAACAGAAACAGTCTTTCTGCTTGTGGGGTAAAGATGGGTACATCTGCCAGACACCGCAATGGCGGAAGTCTCATGCAATAGCTACGCCCTAGAACATGTTGTATTTGGCGGTTGAACAACCTTAAGAATTCTCCGCATTTACAGATCAAAGCTCTACTTGGGTGTCCTTCCTCACTAGAATGGGTGATGAGCTTAAATGCCTCATATGAGTCCGTCTTCACCACGATGTGCTTTAAGGCTACACTCTCTGATTAGCTCTAGGCCGCTGAAAATGGCTCATAATTCCGCTTGGAAACTGGTCATGTGAATCAGCTTCACATAGAACCCAGCTATTCATCTGCCATGGTCATTCCTGATTAAGCTTCCCATTCCAGCTGCTCCTGGGTTACCCTTGGAGCATCCACATTCATCTTCAGCGCACCTGTTGGAGGCTTTGTAGGGTGACCATTCTCGAAAGCTGCAAACCCTCACACCAAAAAATATTGGATGGTCATCACCGTTAAGTAGTATCATAAATCATGTATATATAGTAGATTTCACCAAATTCTAAAATCACTAATAA